GGAAGGAGGGAGTAAGTCTTTTTATTTTATTACTATTTTTTTTGTAATGGTAAATTCCAACTTTAATGTTCCAGTTTTTAGTATGAATTAGCATATATTCTGATACCAACTTTAACACTAACACGCACTTCACATGAACATAGTTTTTTTGGACCTTAAATTTTGAAGATTCAGGATTCATTTAGATTGGAAATTCTTTCATGCCAGAGATCACATAGCAGCTATTCATCAAGCACAAGATTTTGCAGAAGGTCAGCAGATCGTCAAACATCTCTCCAGTGCCTATTAGATGAGCGGGGCATGTCATAGAAACAAAAATTCGTAAAGACATGGTCTATACTTTTGTGCCACTCACAAATTAATGAAAAATACAGACTTACGAATCAATTTAAAGAATAAACAATAATTACAGTACACCATGATGAGTGAGTGCTATTGTGGGGTCAGACACACAGAGAGGAGCCCTAAAGAAATAATTTTCTCGTTAATGGGGTTGGCAAAGGCATTTTATATGGGCATATTTATTCTGAGTGTTGAAGTGAATTAGACTTGGGCAAATAGCAGGAGCACAAGGGCCAAAGGAACAGAGAAGGCAAAACCACAAAGGTATAAATGGTACAAATATGCACAGTATATTTGAGGGTCTGTTAACAGCTTTAGAAAGGTGTCATTTTAAATGGTAAGCCTAACAAGGCCAGTGAGGATTTTAACTCTGTATGAGAAGTTGAAACCATTATCCACGAACTTCATGACCTGAAAAATGAATTTAAGACTGACCATCTCTCAGTTGCCTCTTCCTTTTTCCTTTCACCTCTACCTTCCAAGTAGTTTAAAGACTCATGCTATACTAACCCCTGTACTTCATAGGCATTGTGCCACCAAATCCTTATCATAATTCAGTTAGGGCTTTCCACTTGAGTTCTTCGCCTGACTTTACCACTTTGTATGTGCAAGAAAATCCTCTTTCCTTCACCTTGAAAATACCAACGGCTTCACTTCATATTACAAAGAGAATACAACAATGTCCAATGATTGGAAAGGTCAGGGAAATAGAGAAATTTTCAAGGGGCGAGAAAGATGCAGACATCAAAATATTTATTCCAAGGCAAATGAAAAATACTTTGCTATAAAAGGACATAAAGTTCTGTGGATTTTCCACTGTCTCCTGGATGGGTCTGGCCCTTTGAGCTAACAAGGTTCCTCTCCAGCTGGGAGGAAGAGAAGCCTGAAGCCTTCAAGTGAGATTTTAATTCAATTAGTGTCTTACCAATTTGATGCAGCAACCAAGGACCTATGGTGTCTGATTAATATGCTGATGCTAAGGCAAAAGGGTGGATAGAATGCCCATTTGGATAAGGCCTGGCAGCAAAGCGTGGCATTTCCATGGAAACCACAGAAAGCCATTAATTAGCTATCAAATAAAATCATTGGAAAATTCTGGACCCTGGCATATCTGCCCCCTTCAAAGAGGAGGGCAAGAAGAGGTCATACTAACAGCAAGGCTCCCTTCAATGATTAAAATCATATTTGCACAGAGACTACACATCACAAAGTGGAAGAGATTGGAAGTAAAACACATGGACACAATGAAAGAAAAGAGGCTTTGGGATTATTCAGGTCTAAGAATATAATTTTAAATGTAAAGTATCTTATTGGGTTTTCTATGCTGGTAAAATTTTCTCAATGACAAATATTTTCTCCTGTTTTCTGTTCTGTGGAAAGAAAGTGAGAATAATATGGATCCAATATGTAGTGATAAGTGATCAAGGGAAGAGACCATAAAGTTAAAAGTGTGGAGCGATTAACCCCTAAAATAATAGCTATAGGTTGTATAATGTTCAAATTAATAGGGACAAATAAAAAAATTAAAAATAAGGCAGAAAGGGAGAAAAAGGAATCATTAAAATTGGTAGACACATAGACATAATAACAAAACTTACCATACAGATAGATATTCACAATAAATGTAATTGGATAAAACTGACAAGTAAAAAGAGGTGGTCAGACTACATGTTATATGTTAAAATAATAAAGGGAAAGAAAGTTTGAAAATAAAAGAACAAAGATATGCTAGACAAATATTAACTAAAAAGCTGATGCAACATTGTTAATAACAGTTGAAAAAGACTTTAAGGCAAAATACATCTTTAGTGTTAAAGATGGTAAATTTAGCAGAGAAAGTGAGACAAGAGTGGACTCATAGAACCATAGACTCTGAACACTAAAGGGGTCATTAAAAATCTGTAACACTTCACCCTTCAGAGATGAGGAATTATACTTAAAGTTATTCCACAAGGTTTTCAACACCGACCATGATTATGGTTCCTTCTCCACTATCACTAAGTGAAAGGTTGTCTAGCATAATCTTTCCAATAAAGAATCAAGAATTACCCCCATGACATTTAAACTAATAGGATACAGACTCACACAGTTATGTTCTCTCTTGATAGATAGATAGATAGATAGATGATAGATAGATAGATAGATAGACACATATGTAATATATACTATATTATATATTATATTGCATTATATTACATTATAATATATATTTTTTCTTAAGTCACTACCATCTCATGTATGAGCATTTTTCCAATTGAGGATCTACTCAAATCCTTGGATTGTATTAGGAACTCCGGTTGAGTGGAGATCACTCTCTTCCTGAAAACTAAATGTTATCAGTGGCTCTAGCCCTGTCAACCTTAAGAACCTAGAAGGAGCTCTCCTTTCTCAATATCTGTTCTCTCTCCAAATCATTATCAGAGCCTACAGTAACAAATGTAAGGTCATATATTCCTTTTCAATATCAGATGTAATTGTAAGCATTCTGAGTCAATGGACATGGTATACTTTCTCTCTACTTCAGTTGAGAAGCCTTCTTCCCTCTCAACAAATCCACAACTCAAGATGGATTCAAGGAATAGAATGGTGTAGATTTGAATTAAGGGGCAGAAAATCACCTCAAAATCACATGGTTAATTTGGGGGAATTACAGATCTCCGATAAATGTGAAAGCTCTGGACTCTTTCCCAATAAAAACGTGCCATCAAATACACTTTTGAATAATGTTTCATAGATCCTTTGATGACCTTTCTTGGACACTCTGG